GACTTTTCAACCAAATGATATAATGGCTAAAATTACATAGATAAAATGCAACAGAAACTAGTTAACCACTTATGAACACTCATAACAAGCCTTGAGACATCATGTAATCCATTTATTGACACATTATCAATCCCCATAAGTCATCCTTGTATACATTAGTCATAACATCATGTTCATAGGAGGAAAAACTCTAAATTGATTATTTGCATTCAGCCAAAATTTCAATTTCCCTGTACACAATTTCATCACATAAGCAGCTAACTGTAGTAGTGTTGTGAATCTTTGAATCCTATAATCAGAAAGCCATGAACTTCCAAACCCGCAAAAGTACTTTTTTGGCCGATCCTAGTTATTCAAAAATCGCCTAACAAAATGCCAGAAGTGTGCGGATGATTGCGTGAAATTACAAGTCTAATAAAGGGAGCAGCAGGCATGAGAAGGTTAAATGACTTCTGATATTTCCGAATCTCGCGTAGAGCCACTGTCCCAGGCCTGTTCCTCCGCTTTTTTCTCTGCCTTTCCCCATCTCTTTCAGCTACAAAAACCAAACAACACGCCCACATTCCCCAACAAAAGTTTAAATCAAATCAAAACTCACCACTCAAATATTTTAAGAAAGAACTCAAAATAGCATGTAAATAAATAAATAAATAAATACACACACGAGTAACTCACCTTGCGGAGTAGTCCTTGGGCTTCTAGCAGGTGACGGCTAATCAAATAAACAATGATGCCACATCTCAGAAATATTACAAAGAAAAATTATGTGTAGATAATGAAAGTGAAAGTGACGAAAAGCATATGATACCTTATGATTTGGGGTTGACGGAGTAGCTTCTGCAGCTGAAATTTCAGACAAAGTAAAACTAGGGTTCCAGAAAATTAGGCGAAGACAATAAAAATGAGTAAAAAATTATAAACGCGCACATATGTGTACATGTAGAGAGAGGGGAGGGTTAACGGGATTCACCGGAGGAATTCCGGCGAGTAGCTCTCCGTCTGGCCCGCTGTTTAACTCTGGCCATGGATTTTTCCTTTTTATTTTATTTTCGGCTATGCAATTATAAAAATTATATACACGATTTTAAAGCTTTCAGATTTCTGAGTTTCTATTTTTTAACTTTTCCAGCTTTGAAATGATAATTTCCCGCGTGATTACGAGGGCGATGCGTTAAAGCTAAAAGCGCCTATTTTAATGGGAAGATTCGCGCGACAAAACGACTGCGTTCTGGAAGGATGAGAGTGCAATTAATTATTTTGGCACAATTTTTATTAATTCTTATATGAAAACAAACAGTTGAAG